CGGGTTTTGTAACATGAAGATTATTGACCAGTTGAATCGGTATCATCTGCTCAAGGATGGACAATTACCAAGCGAAGATACAAGAAACAGACAGGCAGAAACTGTTATCACTTTAGGTTACTGTAACCAATTACCTTACTGACTTCGTGAGGCAGGATCTTTATTGAGAAGCTGATAATAACAATGCAACTTGTCAAGAAATCTCATGATGATTCAGTAGATCACCGTGTTCACGAGATCCAACTGGGCCGTATCTTGATTTTTTAAGTCCGTCCACACCTCACATCCCTTTTCCAAAGATCATTTTCATCTCATGTCTCTCAACTTTTCGGGTCTCTCGATACAAAATACTACATTAAGTTCTTGTGACCCCCATGCATTTACATATCCGGTCAATCGTATCTCCCTTGATCTAATAAGCCTATAAGAGATGTCTGCATAATTTATAGATTATGTAATATTGTCCGATTATTCTATTATTCCATCTTTCTTATGTCCACAACTGTAATTTTCCTCAAAAAATTAGTTCTCAAACTAGTTTACTTCCTTACGGCCTAACACCAATATTTACAACCGTGTAAAACAACAGGTAAAATCCATTTTTTTGTAGATAATTTTACTTAGACCTGTATTTCTTTTATTTCACGGTAGCATCGTGTTAAAACCGATTCGGAATCGGTACTTCGCCTCTTGCACAGATCGTCCAGGGATACAGCAGCTAGCTGCCTCCCATCTGTCTCTGCCTGAACCCATCTCCCACCCCGAACCCTTTTCTTTTAACTTCCACTCTCGTCTCATCGTTTCCTTGTTCGGTCGGTCACTTTGCTCCCGCGACACGTTTATTGTCGCTTTGTGCCCGCCAGCTCCTGTCAGCTACACCGTCAACACACTTGGTCACTCAGGGTATTGTCAGTTGAGTTAGAGGATTAGTCAGGATCGACCAGATTAACAACTCTGTAATTCGAACTTATAATTTGTAACGAACTGAACACCTAAGCGGTCGACCAACATGCCAAGTACCCATTTACATAAGAATAACTCGCTACGTTTCTATACCACACATCAAAAAACAAGGCCGAACAATGAGAGCAGCGCCATATCAACGAATGTCACGCGGCGAGAACTCGTTATCAAAACAAATGCTGGACTGGGCAGAGACCAAACCAACTATTCTGTGCTTCTCACACAGTCTGGCGCAGAAATATTAATTAAACGAAGACTAACTAACTAACTACAAATTTAAAGTCACTTACTGACACAGAAAAAAGTGTCTGGACCAATTACGTAACCGTATATAACTAACCTTTTACCGTGTCCTCTGAAAATAACATAAGGAAAAGAGGAATAAAGAATGACAGAGGAAGATACGAAGGTAAGAGCGTAAGAGAAAGAAGGAAAAGGGGTAACACAGAAGTAGAGAAAATGACAAACAATGAGAGAAGTAGACAGAAAGAAAGAAAAAGTTGATACTATTAAAATGGGTGTTTTGTGAGACGGCCTCCAGGCATGGTGGGTAGCTGCGAATATATCGAATAAGTAGTCACGGTCAATCTAAAAGGGGCGGTGTTATGAATTCTTAGGAATACACACCGTTTCAGTCGGAAAGCCTGACGAGAAGAGACCAATGCGAACACCCAGACCACATAGGCGTATAATACTATAATTGGCCTTTCCACAAACAGGCTGGATTCATTTGGCTAGGTTTATGGACCAGAACATTAGTATTCCATAAAAGGCAGGAAATATCTTGAGTAGCTGAGCTACTATCAGCTTCTTACGGACTCTCCTCCAAGGAGTTAGCTGAATGGCTGTTCATTTCCTTAAATCCCGCTCTGAAACGACAGTGTAGAGCCGCTGGCAGCCACACGCGTTCAATGATTCCTTTAACTTGGACCAATGCACGACGTGGAATTGGGGAGTTATAGACGACGAGATCACATCAACAACAATCTCCTTCTCTGTGGTGGCACGAGGGTGGGGTTTCCGGGGTCACCTTAATTTTCCGAGAGTCTAGTAATTAAACAGCACAAGAGCTGGTCCGTCCTGCGGCAGCAGGAAGGAAGGCCAAATTGAATCAGCGCGAACTGACTCGGCCACGCTGGTCAGGTCGCCAAAAACACAGGCGCGGTCTTTCAGGGGTGATGCACACCGCCCCTCGTATTAAAGGGCTTTTAAAGGCAGTAAGAAAGTTACGGTACTTCCTTTATTTTGGACTTTGTATATCGTCTGTTTTTTAAAAGTCTTAAAAATATTTAAACCTTAAAAGCCACTAGTTTCGAAGAACAGACCTTCATTCGTCTTTAGATAAAAAGTTGGAGACGTCTGTATTTTTTTTTATTTTTTTATAATCTGGTAAGACCGAACTATTCCTGATTCATGTACACTGTATTTCATCATCTTAACGACATTCCGTGAACAGCACATAACACGAAGCTCCTCATTATGTAATTTTCTCCACACTTTGTTTCCTGTCCCTTGTGTGTAGACGATTCTCTCATCACTGTCCATAAAATTCATCAACTTATGTTCATCACTCAAAGACAGACATCACGTTCGCATCCATACAATAATAAATAACATTATAAAACTGCGTACTTAAATAATTAGAATTTTAATACTACGTACGAGACAGGAAGACAAAAGATTGTAAACTGAATAGTAGCAAAATGTTCTTAATTTAATCCACTCTTAACTTCTTCTTAAATATCTTAATTTGTTGCTATCGTTCGCAAATATTTTAAGCTCTGCCACACTTTTGGAAGATTTGAGAGCCTTGTTTATGTCATACATAATTTTGCCCTCCATTCTGATGACGGGAAATTAACATATACCCAGAATCTTCAGCGAAATCGCTTTATTACCTTTTAACAGAATTTTCTGTTTCCACTTATAATATTCAAGTTTTCGGTCAGTAATATAATTTCACCAGCAATTAACAAAAGATTGTGTGTTTCATTAAATTTCATTTTCTCCTGATTTCTTGGATTTTCGTGATGTTATTTGCCAGTTAAAAATAAAGGAGAATTGAAGCCATTATTCCACAAAGTATTCACTGATAATTATTACGACTTGTGTTATAAACATAATTTTAAATAACATTTTTAGCTTAGTGCAGCAGACAGTTATGAGAAAATGAGAGACGTCTCGTTCCGAATGACAGGGCACGAACCATGATGAACAACTAATTAAAGATTTCGTTGCGACTTTGTAGTATCAATCTTCATCTATTATTCACGCTTTATCACCTCATTGGGCACTTTTAATTGCTAATTATCTTTCCAATTATAAAACCATATCAGAAGGATGAATTCAAGTAGCAGCTGAATTTAACTTGATATAAGTACAAACGAGAAATGTGATTGAATTAATGAGAGATTCATCTCAGTGATCAGACAAATAATAATTGGCTTTATATAACCATTAATTAGGGACCAACTGCGATGTCTTGGAACAGAAATTTATCAAATTAACTAAGATCTTATAATTTCTCATACTGTGTCGTTACTATTCGCAGACACGAGTTTAACCAACTAGCTTTCACGTTGTCAGAACAAGGAAGACGAAGGCAGAATGTTCCTCAAAAACGTTGGTGTTCACCTCACAGTTGACACGGTGTTACAACCCACAAGACCACCATCGATTTATTTTTGCGTGTTTGTTTTACTGGCTACTCGTTTCTTTTTCACCAGTCTCTTTCTGTATGGGACATTTCCTTGGATATTACCGCAGATAGATTTTCATGCAGAGAGAATTTGGCGTGACATAAACTTTGTTCGGAAGTAATTTCCAGTGTGTAGCGAGTGTTTCCGAAATGAAGATGTGAACTTGAGCGAAGGCCAAATTATGTTTTAGATTATTGCTGCTGTACATCTTTGTCAACCGCTGTTCTGCAACACAGAGTTCCCTTGCAATAAAACTTTATGAATTGCCCGGCGTTACATTTTCACTCTTCTCTGGGCCAGCAATGACAGCCCGTTTGTCTGTTGACCTCCAGCTCCCCCCCCCCCCCAACAACC